GAAAGTGGTGTTGCGTATCTTGCTTTCCCTACACTTTCGTGGCGTTTCTGGGAGACTCACCCCTTTTCCGTCGCACATTCTGGCTTGTTGACTAGTGAGAACAGCCATCGGCCATTGACAACTGGTGCCAAAGAAGAAAGTGTGGCAGTCTCACCTAGTTCTGAGACAGATCCTGAAAAGGCTGTTAATATCAATCAGAACACTTCTATTGTTAGCGCAACTGAGGGGAGATCTACCATCTTCTATGCTCGGGTCCGAACGGGCATGACCAAGAAACTCGCATCACGGGTATCTGGGCAGCAGTCTGAAGCACTTCAACTCTGGGTGATCGTCGAAGGACCCTACCATCATTCTGGCGATGTTTCACCTCAACTTTCACACTGCAAAGATCTTTTGGTTATTGCAGGAGGTGTTGGCATCACAGCCTGTCTCCCGTATCTTCGACAAGGCGCTTCAGGCAATACAAAGCTTTTCTGGTCGAGCCGCAAGAAAGGTCTAGTTACAGCCCTAACACCAGCTCTTGCTGATCTGCCAAGGAGTGTACAGGTCGAAACGGTTGTGGGGGAGCGTTTGGATCTTAGGGGCATCTTGACCCAAGAACTGATTGGAGCGCCAGACGATGGTGCGCTGGCGATTGTCATGTGTGGACCTCCCAGTATGGCTGATGAAGTTCGTAGAGACATTGTTGAGATTGTGAGGAGCAACGCCTTATGCCGCGCCTATGTGCTCTTGGATGAGGCTTATTCTTGGTAGTTCTAGTGGCGGTATGTCACTCAATCAAACAATCAAGATGACGATCTGCCCACTTCACGTAACTTGTACACTAAATGGTCCTGAATTAGAAGTGTTCATCGCTATAAGACTAGATGTCTTATGTAAATCGATCTTCATTTCATCATTTACCATGTTGCCAACATCAGGCCCAAGCTGGCGGGACTCAGCTAGACTAGCCGTTATGAGAAACGCGGACCGAGCGGATATATCTACTTGAACTCTATTCAGAGACGTTCTCGTTTCAAGATGAACTTCTAGATCAAGCTAGATTATTCTGTGTCGCATTGACCTGTTTTTGACGTAAACGTCAATTTCGGCATCAATAGTTGGAAACCTTGAGTTGCACGTAGTCTAGTATGCTCTATAAAAGTTCCTCAGACTACGGAGTACCACCGTAAGCTATCGATGGGTGAATTTCCCATGTGGGATATTCTCGTAATCAGCATCGTATACTCAACTGAGGAGGTCAGCATTTGCATGTAATTGGTTCTGTGGTCAGCAAGGTCAAGTTGGAGATCACGAGTGCGGCGCTGACCCGAGCGAATAATTGACAAATACCAAGAGCTCGACATGCCAGGTTCAGGCCCAGGTCCAGAGGCAGAGTTCTCACGTTTTACCCCTGGCAGCTGCATCCTTGACGTCCGATGACTTGAAGCTTGGCCCTGCAGAGAAGGACAGTAAGGTAGGTGATGGTTTTGACATGCGGTGGCGTTAGTAACAGCGCTCTGGAACCTCCTGTATATGAGACCACCTGCCTAATGTGTATTTTTCTTTATCATAATTAGGTATGCGTGGCGTTGAATAGGTTATAAGGCTTGGGCCCGAGTGACCAAATAACAACCACATGGCATCAAAGTATGCGTAACATGACTTGACATGCAGATTGATTGATTGATAGTTGAGGGAGGGAGCTGGTTAGAGTTCCCCGATACTAAGTTAGACGTTGGATCTACGGCATAAAAAGCAAACAACAGAATTTTTCTGATGTACCTACATATAAGATCTGTGTTATATGCCAACAGCTGTCAGAACGACAACCAATGATTCAAAGACCCAACGTAAAAAACGGACCGACCTCACCCAAACCTGTTGAGCCAGCTGCGAAACAAGTGCAGTTTCCAGTGCCCGTTGGTTCAAAGCCCTGGCCCTGCCCTCAGTGCCCTGCTACTCGGCTGTGACATCCCAGCCTCCGATCGTTCAATGATAATCGACCCTTTGAGGTAAAAAGCCTCGGCTGCTCTGTGGATCTGCTCCGCCCGGAAGCCAAACTTCGAAGAGCCTAAGGCCCTAGAGCCCCCCTCGGCCCCAGCGTTAGCCCCGGCAGCTTGGTCCAGAGGAGGTAATTGAATGTCAAAATGCGTGGGTTTCCCCCGAAGCCCGGACTCCATTTCCATTGCTTTAGTGCCTGTCTAGCCTGTCTCTCACTGAAAGAAGCCCTTAACTAGGGCCCTGCTCTGGAGATTTTTTTTTTCTTGAAGCCGCTAAACTAGGGTCCCCTGGCTGTTGCATTCGACCACTGACGATGGCGTCTTCTAGCGTAAGCCCTCCCATTCCCTTCTGTAAGCCATTAGCCATCACCAGGAACCCGCCGTCACGCGAGGCCGTACCTAGGCTCGCAAGCAAGGTACGGTATAATCCACTCTTGGGTCTTGGCTTGGGTTCTTGGGCTTAACGACGAGGATCTCAAGGGTGTCAAGTTGCCTTTTACGGCTCCATGCGTGGAGGCGGGTCGACGCGGAGGCGAACGGCGAACCGTCCGTCTCTTCTATCAGCTCATAGAGTAGTTATAATCATGCTCCCTCTTCTTCTGACACCCGCTGCCGCGGGCCTCTCTCTTCCTGATCGTCTTGTGCATTTGATTTGATTTCACGATACCAGTGACTGACTGACAATATGCGCAATCCACCGCCAGAGGTGGTGGCCTCATGGCCCCCGCCAAACTATGTCAACCCCGTTCATCGTGGGCCTACGCTGCTCATTGTCGAGGTCACTATCATGTCTGTGGCCATCCTGACACTCATGGCCCGTTTGTACGTCCGCATATTCAAGGTCAACAAGCATGGACTCGATGACTGGCTGATGCTGGCTGCCATGGTAAATATCCCTCCCAACCTCGGCTGCATGTGCAACCCACGATGATCATCTCCAATGCTGACTTGTGGGACTTCCAGGTGTTTGGTATTGGTGTTACTGTCTGTGTCATTCTTGCAGCTCAGCTCTACGGCTGGAATATCCATGTCTGGGATCTCAAGAAGTCTCAGGCGGAAAATGGTCGAAAGGTTTCACTCGCTGCTCAGACACTCTTTCTATTTTCCTCGGGCCTAGCAAAGAACTCTATCCTCGTCTCGTATCTCCGTATTGCCCCGGCCAAATCGTGGCTTCGTCGTTTGACTTATGCCTCACTGATTCTTGTCACCTCGCTCATCTTCATTTTCCTTATTGTTCTTTGGACACAATGCAACCCAACCTCTGCATACTGGAAGCTGGACGGAGGTGACAGTTGCCGTCCTGAAGGACCCAGTGTACTGTAAGTTACTATTTCGAGTTATTGCTGATGATCACTAACGATATGTTTTTAGGAGCCAAGCCATTACCACTGTCATCACTGATCTCCTTGTCTGCGCCCTTCCTCTGCAAACACTCTTCCACCTAAAACTGCCTTTCTCCCAACGAATGGCCCTCATTGTCGTCTTCTCTCTCGGCCTCATCGTTGTCTTCGCAGCCTCTATGCGCGCATACTACACCCATTATGTTACCGATGAAACCTACGATGTCACCTGGCAGGGCTTCCACCTTTGGATCTGGACAGCCGTAGAGGCCAACCTTGGAGTTATCTGCGGCAGTATACCAGCACTTCGACCCCTATTCCGAAACATGTTCCGATCCAAGAGCAGCAGCTACTACAACAAGACCAACTCTCACGCTTACCCACCCGGCACAGCTCCAGGAGTTGTCACAGTCGTCACCAGCCCCAAGAAGAACTCACGAAACTGGACCGATAGTTTACAACGAAATTCCAAGGGGGTTAGGATACAAGACGACCATATCGATGTTGAAGGGGGATATAACGATGCTAGACGACAAAAGAGCTCAGATAGCGGAGCGTCGTCACTCGAGATGGACACGTGGCCACCAAGACCACAACCTAGATCTTGGCCTACAAATTGACGAGGCATGATAGTTTGACATAGTTTGGCGTTCTTGAAATTTGGGTGGGTTTTGGATAAGCTTTACGAAGCAGGAATGGGCATCATGGATGAAGGTCTAGGCATCAAAAAAAGGATTCAAACAGAACTTTGCTATACTTAGCACGACATGATTAAACACTTTTCGTTTTGCCCAAATATTTATCTCTGCTGCAAAGCTGAATGACATCCACGTCTAACGTTGAGTGCAGAGAAGACGAATCTGCCCATAGCTAACGAAAAAAGGCAGCTTCTTCTGGAACCTGGCTGTATACTTCTCTAGCCAAGTGACATTCCACGACCACGTGAATTTTCATTAGCTGAAAGTCAAATTGCATTGGTAAAGCTTGATTGTATTAGACCTCAACCCCCCGAATGCCAAGAAATCGGAGATTTTGTCCTTGTAGCGATGGGGTTATCTTGTGAAGACAGCCTAGGTCAGGTATTTATGCCCGACTAGTACCCTCTACGTTGGCAACACGAGATCAAGTAATTCAGTATGACAAATGGGTAAAGGGAGACTTGGCATCATACGACATGTGAAGCAAACAGTGACATCAAAACTACTGACGTTCTGTACATGATCTCATGTTGAGCTCCGACCCCGCCTATTCCATTCATCTCCACTCCTTCCGTGCCGTACCGTCCGGCTTCAGCTCCGGCTTCAGCTCCGGATCCTACATACCTATTCTCGGCCGAGAATGACACAATGTGAATGAGCAGTAAGTATCAGTAGAGGAGCCAGAAAGGACGCATCGCCCCAATTATGACCGATCATCAATAAAAATGCATATTAAAACAATGCTTACATCATCTTGACACAAGGGATTGATTCTTGCATGCATCGAGAGGTTGGACCCCACTCCTCCGCAGCCGATCCCGCATCCCGCTCCGATGCAGGTGAGCTGAACTGAGCTTCCTTCCTTCCTTCCCTGGGACCCGTCGTATTTATGGAACATCATTCCTCTGAGGACTCCAGCTCTCCCGTCCTCACTTGCGTCTTCTAACTCTCACACTATCACCTAGACAAGCATCATCACCATGTCTCAGCCAGATCCCAAGCGTGTCAAAACTGATGACGAAGCTCCCTATGAGCTCATCTACTGGCCAGTCATCCCCGGTCGCGGCGAATTTGTCCGCCTTGTGTTCGAAGAAGCTGGTGTTCCCTACTCAGACGTTGCACAGAACATAGAGAAGGGCATGAACGCTGTCAAGAGTCTCACTTCTACAGACAACATCGGCGATGAGCATAACCCGCCTGCTCTAGCTCCCCCAGCTCTCAAGCACGGCGATCTTCTCATTTCACAGACGCCTAATATTCTTCTATATGTCGCTCCAAGGGTTGGTCTGGCGCCCAAAGAAGGAAACGGCGTGTACCATCTCAATGAGATTGTTTTGACAATCCTGGATGGTCTTGTAAATGAACTCCATGATACTCATCACCCTATCGCTATTAGTCTCTACTATGAGGACCAAAAGGAGGAGTCCAAGAAGAAGTCTGAATATTTCATCAAGGAGCGCCTCCCCAAGTATTTCAAGTACATGCAGCGAGTGCTTGACGCCAAAACCAGTGGTGAGGGGCCATGGTTATATGGCGACAGCTTGACCTATGCAGACCTCGTACTTTTCCAGGTGAGTAGCACTCACAGAATATCCATCAAATTATTCTTCGAGTGGCTAACAACCCACCAGGCTGTTGATGGCACCAAGTTTGCCTTTCCCAAGTCTACTGAGGCTTTGAAGAAGTCTGGTGAATACGATGGCGTTTTCAAGTTATACGACGCGGTCAAGGAGAGGCCCAACATTAGCAAATATCTTCAAAGTGACAGGCGCAGGAAGTACTCCGAGGGGATCTGGCGATATTATCCTGAGTTGGAAGAGGAATAGGTAAATACCAAAGATTCACTCCTCAGACAGAAAAGTTAACCCATCACATCCACGCCGAAAAAGCTCAAAATTGTGTCATGTTTCTATTGCCTAAAGAAACTCCAGAATGCTCCATATAATTCCCAAGTTACCATTCCATTTTCCCAGCCCAAAACCGTGTATTGTACGACCTCCCAGCTCATAATGTCTTCATAAATCATGATCGATGTCCATAGTATCCTGTATCAATGCTGTCATGCCTGACTTGGATATTATCTTTCCTCCGCTGCGCCACCGAAAGATCAATGCCCAGCGTATGATCATCCCACTCTACAGCAGGTCTCTTCTCACCCGTTCGTGTTGTCAGCTCTCCATATAAGTATGTCCCTCCCAATTCTCGAATACGCTGCTTACGCTCTTCACCGTCCATGTCGGCCATGCCACTAAAGTGATCTACCATATTGCTCTCGCTCACGTAGTACATGGCTCCAGCGATCGAGCGAGGATCTACCGGCATATCAGGCCAGCGGACAATGAAGCTGAGAAGTATAGTGATTGCCATCAGAGCCAGAATGCCAACAGAAAGTCGAGCGCAGATATCGTGTGAGACTCGCACTTGTGATAGCGAGTAAGGTATGTTGGCAAGAAGAATGGGCATGAACTCGGAGAAAATGGCCATTAAAGCGACCAGGCCCGGAAATATTTGTCCATGCTTGATGGCAGACCAGAAACCGGAGAACGGGTTCGTAGGTCTCGTGAGCAAGGCTGAGTTGGATGCCGACTGGGGACCATGCGACATGACCTGATATGGCACAACCATAGCGATAGCTTCATATAATTAGCCTAAGGCTCGAGAGTAATATCGAGGAAACTTACTGATAAAGAAGGCTGTCCAGCTAAACGAGATAATAACTCCGAAGGCGGCAAACAAGAATCGAACACCAAAAGTCTGACTGTTCATGAAGTTCTTGAAGGAAGATGACTTGTCAAGTGTCAGATGGTAATATAGCAGAAACACCATCAAACCAAGCAGGAACAGTAGAAACACTAAACGCCACGCGAGTCCGAGCATGAGGAATGGGTTTCTTCGCCCCTTTCTGACTGCCTGCGCGTCCACAGAGCTAGACTCTGAAAACGGATGATTACGTTGAAGGTTCTCCCCCGCGTCGTCGTAGAGAACAATGCCGTATTCAGTCTGCCCTGCACGGTTCTCAAAGAATCCAAAACCGTATCGCTTTTCTGCCATCTCTTTTTCTATTCTTCGCTCAGAGTCCTGCTGCGGTCTGATATCTCTGTTTGAAGCCAGCGATGCAACTCCTGCAACACTCCAGGGGTTTGCGTACACTCCTGTGTGAAAATTTCTAAGGAAGAATAGTAAACCGCACAGCAGTAAGACCATCAGACCTAAGACTGCAAGGAGGATGCGTGACGATAATGGTGAGACACCTAAGGCTGGAGCACAACCCTCATAAGCGTTGATTTTGCACTGGCCGTGCATCTTGAAACCAACAGCTTCGACTGCCAGAGGCGTCAGAAGTGCCGAGAACAAAACAATCAGCATCGTGATGAAAGGCACAGGATGACCATCCACAAGACCATTGAAGGGCTCTACAATTCCTGCCCAGCCACCGAAGTGAAGATTCATCGACTCTGGTCCCATAGCTCCGTCGACCCGGTTCAAAGCGTGGAAGGGCTGAAAGAGTTGGGCGTTGTAGTCAATGACTCGTGCAGGTATCGACAGCATAACTGCGAGGATAGGAGGAAGAAATTTGCCAAGGAAGTACTTCCCAGCATCGAGCTCATATACTGTAACCACAGTCTTGACCACTCCCCCGGTTGCTCCAGCTTCTGATGCATCATCGGTGCCAGTGGGAGCAATTGTGGTGGTCTTTTCGTAGGTTCTCGTTTTCCCCTTGATTGTCGATATGATCGTGGAAGAATCTGTTCGTTCAGATGTTATCGTCTTGAGTTTGTCGGTTGATCTGGTGGATATGATTGTCGTAGGTGCAGCAGACTTGGTAATTGTTGCCAACGAGGCGGCCTTAGTTGAGATTAGTTGGTTAGTCGTGAGCAGTCCGTCAACTCCAGTCTCAACGACATCGACAGTGGTCTCGAAAGCTTCGATCTCGCTGACAAATGTTTCGCCTTCCTGAGAAACAACTACCTCGACGGTCTCGATGTCCTTGACCTTGGTGACATAGGTTGTCGGGTCCAGCTTCTCGACTTTCTTCACGGTGTGATCGTCTTCGACAGTCACGACATCAATGACCGTGGGCTTCGCCTTTTCTGTCGGCTTGGGCTTGCCAATAGGCTTCTGATCTGTGTAAACAGAAGTAATAGTGATTTTGCCATATGAGACATAGGTACTCGCCGATGCGGTCGTTTCTCCGACACTTTCGTATTGAGTAGGAGCCGCCTCGGTAATGACATGCGACAGAGTCTTTGTCTCGCCATCCTCTACGATAGTGGTGTAGATAGTCTCGGTCCTATCTCCATCCAGAGTGGATGTGTATGTGGTGACCGCACCAGGAAGCGAATAAGCCTGGGTAATCGTTACAGCTTCCGTGTAGCTGATGGTACCGGGGGCAGCAGAATCAGAGCCTGAGGGATAGACGACCGAGTAGCCCACACTGATACTGGTGAAGACGGATTTTGTTGCCTCTCCAGGCCTGGTTGTAACGACCTCGGTGACGACCTTTGTTGGGACCACGGTATAGTCTACGCTCGTCATGGTCGTACCGTCCTTTATCGTCGTGGTAAGGTCCCAGTGCGTACTATACTCCGTGGTCTCGATCGTGGTGGTGTATTTGCCTGTAGTGCCTGGTACAGTAACAACAGTAGACACGTCGCTCACGATGTAAGTTGTTGCGAGTATTGTTTGCTTTGCAACTTCAGGAGTCATTACTGCATCGTCTTGTGGGAAATTGGGGTTGGCATTGTTGCGTTTCTTGTGGATGATCTTTGCTGTCCCATCTGAGTTTGGCATTTCTATCAGGGCCCAGATGACCAGTCCCATAACAGCCAAGAGAAAGGCGATCTGGCCGATGATAAAGTACCATCTTAAAGCTGTAGGGCGATAAAAGGTCCTTTTCTTACCAGAAGGGAACTTCTCTGAGCTGATGTCCCATGATACATCGTCTGTGGCTTGGGGCTCGTAGCGCGCGTTTACACCAGCCTGGTGGGAGTACATGGCGATGGTGACTCTGGAACCCGCCTTTGGGACACGTAAGGAGTGAATAGACTATTGTCGAGACATGGAGGAAATAAGCCACTATTTACTGCAGAAATCAATCGAGAATGGATGGGAAGACCAGGCAATATAGACTCCCACTTATTAACAAGGGCAGCCCAGCCTCAAGATATTATATGCATATCTAAAAACAGACCAACAACACCTAGCACAGCCCGGTAGGACTCAGGGACCCCCAATGATAATCGTTTACCGCTGCGAATATAAAACAGAGTGGCGCCCACCCAGGTATAGGGCTGAGTCCCGTAGCAGGGGTTGATCCTCTCTGGCCTTTACCATTGGCCTAGCCTGAGACAAAGCTGCGAAGCTAAGGATCGAGAACAAGGATGCGGCTGAGGTGAGCAGAGGTGCCAAGCCTAGAATATCCACCAACTGCCGGACGGACGCTCCTCAATTGGGAGCCTCCTTTCATTGTTCCATCTGTCGTGACCATTGACACCATCCTCAATGTCACGAGTAAGACCATCAAGGAACTTTGGTGTCGTCAGTGAGGCTGGAAGGGCCAATATACTCTAATGATTGTTGTCAGGGTTGCGTTCATCATTCCCACATCATCATGGCCGTACAAGATCACTACCATGAAAATGGTCATGTAGAAGCCTAGGACTATCAGCACTTGGCTTTCTTCTTGATGTAGCCGTGTTTTCTTGGCTTCCTCCGCATAGGAGATGCCCGCCTCTCTAACTTGTGTCTTTCACAAAGGAACGGTCAACTGCATCTTGAGCCAGGTGTATTCGTCTCTAGACTGTGCATAGCAATTTGCTATACCCATCACTCCATCGTAACCCGCCCATGATAGCGATCATCAATACTAGAGCCGTCACAACACTGGCCGTGCCATAAATCCATGCACTTCGCCGTCTCAGAGTGCTAAGTTCAGCAACCCACGTTGAAATGGTTGTCAAACATCCACAGAAACCATCTTCCATGCCTTCCAGAACCTGACAACCGATGACTCCGCCAACCGGCACGTGTGCAAGATCCCACGACATGCCTAGGATCACAGTACCAAATACATTGGCAGTGAATGTTCCCAGAGGGAACGTTTTCACCTTTCCATTGAGGTAGAGAGACAGATAAAAGCGTAGTAGACAACCCAATGGTCCAAAGATCAGCGCGAAAAGGGCTTGACCACGCCAGGCATTATGCGGTGGGAATATGGCAAGAAGTACTGCACCAAGCCAGCAGCCCCAGCCAAGAAACACGCCCAAAGGATCAAGCACTCGTCGACTCAACGAGAAGGGAATCGATGGCGTAACGCGCTCGAGGCCAATAGCCAGATGGGCACCTAGGAACAAACCAGAAAGCGATAACGATACAGTGGTGATGATGACGGCCAGCATTGCCATGAAGGAATAACCCCCATTGCGACTCGTCGGCGACTCTGACCACCCGGGCGTCTTCAGCTCATTGGACAAGGCCAAGAATACGTCCTTGATAAAACTCGAAAACGTCGTGAAACTTCCGCAGAAGCCCGTTGCCATCCCAATGTACAGAGGAATCGTCTTCTTGGTCGCAAGATGCGCTCGCTTTGCTGCGTCTAAGTCCACATCAATCTGCTGACTTGAACCAGATCCATTGGCTTCATCTTTTTGCTTTTGCTTGGCTCGCTTGATAGCTTCGTCATAGGTCGGAGTTCCCCACTCGTTGCGGAAGAGCTTGCGATCCTCCGCGAGAAATCCCATAACAATACTTCCACTAAAATTGGCCCATATCGTGTTGAAGATAACGGGAGTAGCGCTATAGCGCGTCAACGCAGTCAAGCCCAGACGCGCTAATACTCCAAGGATCGCAAATAGCACGAGATACGAATGCGTGTAAAGGCTTGTGAGCAGTTCTGACGTCTTCTTCTGCCCTGCCTCTTGTGGTATAGGCTCTGGTTCGACGGGGGTATTAGAACGGACAAAGTTGGCCTGTCCTCGCGGTTGGCCTTGGGTAGGACATGGCGAGAGCTTTTGTAGCGGAGGAACAGGCTCTGTCTCATCGAGGTTGCTGTAATCTTGTGGAACGTCGTATGTACCGGAATCGTATCGCTCTGCCCGCGTTGCCGATTGAGCTGTTGTTTTGGTGGCCTCGCCAGGGGTCTCCCTTTGAATCGGTTGCTGGGTTATATCGCCGAGCTCAGCATAGTCATTTGGCGCATTGTATACTCCAGAACTCGATTGTCGCTCCTGAGCGGCCGAACCGTCAGCCATGGTTTGATCGTCGCGTTATCGTTGAGGTCTTCGAACATTCAGTCACTCGAAGTCAGAGATCGCAACGTGCTATGGCGACGCAGTTTGTGGTAACAAGACATTTTATTTGGATGGAAGAAGTTCTTGCTATTGTTAAATTACGATGTCTAAGGTTTGATGATATAGTTTGTGGCTAGATTCGTCGGATATGACGGCATTAAAAGGAAAGAAACATCCCGAGCTCTGCCACATGGAAAGGATGAGTACCTATTGTGGAGGTGGAGGCGTTTGCTGTGGAGTCTCTTTGAATTGGGAGGAGAGCAGAGAGCAAGGGTTATATAAGAAAGAGATAACAAGGACAAGACAAGACACGGGTGATAGAGAAAACAGGACGATGGAATTTCATCTTGACCAATGAGATCCAATTGATGCCCGAGCAAGTATTTGCTAACAACAAACATGAATATCTAACTAAATGTTGAGTCCTCACCGCGTTTCAATGTAGCTCCTATCACTGATAGCGGTGAGCTCCGTCTTATCTTATCGCACCCCGCCCTCCTCCGAGCATTCCCCTGTAGCTTAAGCTCTAACCCCGCCGACATACGCTACCGCCCGCCTCGACTATCATTAATTGTCCTTGTGATCTCTCTTGGAACGACGATTGGATCAGGTATCCAATCTCACGTAGTACCGACAAACTGATAAACAGGTACTGTACTGTACAGCTACCTAAGCACAGTTACAGGTACAGACAGGTGCAGTGCTCAACGTGTCTCCAAGCAAAATACCTTGCCTTACACTGCCTGCTTCCTTGCCTCTCGCTCGCTCACATACAAAACCCCCCTCCTCTCCTTTCTCTTTCTCTTTCTTTCTCTCTTCTCCTTCTTCTCTCTCCTTGGCTTCGTCCCAGCATCTCATCTCGTCTTGTGATGCTTCATCGTCTCCTCGTAGATTCTTTACTTTTGTGAAATAATCCGTGCATTCGTGCTTGACTCATAATGTCTTCATTGCCTTCAAACGTCCATGTCTCTCAGCACCCGTGTCTACGGGCAAAGCTGAGCCAGCTTCGCTCAAAGACCAACAGTCCTAGAGACGTCAAATCACTGATTCATGAGATTTCTTTGATTGTCTCTTGTGAAGCTCTTGCTTCGTCTCTGGAAGCTACGGAAGGAACTCAGGTATGAAGCATAATGCCATGGGCACTCTCGGAGCTTGACTAACCACGATCAGGATGAGACGCCTTTGGGCTTCCATTTCACTTCCACAACAGTCCAACCAAGTACCATGTGTCTGGTTCCCATTCTGCGATCAGGCCTTGGAATGGTAGACGGTTAGTTCAGTCGCTGCTTCACTCATACTGTTTAAACTGACCTCTCCAGCCGTGCAAACCATGCTCCCTATCCCAGTTCCAGTTCATCATCTGGGCATGTACCGTGAGCCTTCAACTCTCGACCCAGTCGAGTACTACAACAACCTTCCCCAGCAAATCCCGGGTGACTCCTCCAGTAGCAGTGCTAGTAGTCTTGCTATCTTGGTCGATCCTGTTATTGCAACCGGTGGAACCTGCGCCGCCGCTATCCAGACGCTTCGTGAATGGGGTGCAAAGAGAATCATCGTCCTCGCTGTTATTGGAGCTGACGAGGGTGTTCAGAGAGTCGCTGCCGAGTGGCCCGAGGGATGCGAGGTTTGGATTGCAGCAGTGGACAAGGAGTTGACCAAGGATGGTATGCTGAAGCCTGGTCTGGGAGATGTTGGTGATAGGCTGTTCTTGACTATCGGCAAATGAGTGCACTTTACGGGCTTTTGGGCGTTGTATCATCATTGCATTAACATATAGTTTAGATAGTATACACCATAAGTACCCCATGTTCCTCAAGGAATCATAAACTGCTCCTCGTCAAGCAATGTGCTCTCGTTCCAGCACTCATCGATCCATTTCCCTGTCACTAATCTTGGTTGCACGCGCCTTGAGCTCAGTTCCTTTCGTACCATATCAGCGGCCTCTCCCACTTGCATCGGGTCGTCGCCCTCGATCACCACATGCGTCACAGACAGATCATTGGTGTCATTTGTAACATTACCCCCGCCGTACTTGACTAAGTGCTTTAGCCTCGAAATCTTGTTGTCGCCAGCTTCCACGGCATGAAACAGCACCACGCAACGTCGGAAGGTAAAGCTCCGCAATCGTCCCAAGTCTTTCCCGTGTTCCTCAAGCTGTTGGAGAAATTCATCCTTGTCAAAGTGCGTGCCGTCCTCAATCTTAGGCATGCCGTGCATTAGCTCTCTGAGTTCTTCGAGGGAAAGATCCCGCGCGTAGCTGTCCCCAAACTGATCTGTGTTATCTTCTGCCGCTTGGTGTAATGCATCAGTAGCGTGAAACAAATGCGAAGGTTCAAATGGCAAAAGAAACGCCCCCAATTCCTGTTCAAGGCAATCTCTTATCCATTTGGGGCGGATAATGTCAACAGCCCCTCCTTTAATGAGGCTCGCCACCTTTACCACCTTCTTGTCGGCTATCAGAACCATGTTGGTCCCTGGTACGGCTCGTTGCAAGACTTTGCCACCATTCTCCTTGATGATGGTCTCAAGCTGGGACTTGGTCTTTTTATAAGGCCGGAGTGCCTCTGAAAGCACGCAGAAGTCTAGTCCATTGAAAAGGTTTGTCGTCTCTCCCCTGAACTCAGGTACAATCGCGTCTTCTCCAGCAATGATCAGCTCTCTCTTCACTCGCTTGGGGTTGCGCCGCTTCCTGTCCTCAACCGTCATCGCCTTCTCCTTTGACTCTTCATCAACTCGCTCCTTCAACTCCTGGAACTCTTCAAGGGAGAGGGCTGTGTCCCAGGTTCGGTCCAGGCGAAGTCTTCTGAATCGTGGGAATCTTAGTGTGAAGCCTCGGGCAAATTGATCTGAAGGTCCAACACTGGCTGCTTTGACAGAAACAACCACAGAGTCTTTAGGACGGATCCAGACATCTGGTCTCTCATACTGTTTAAGCTCTCCTCCTCCAAGTTCGATGTACTTGGAGGGTGGATTCTTCTGATCCCACTCAATCCACTTGCCTTCTGTTCGATGCCGAATTTCTGCATAGTCTTCTGCACGGAAACCGCCCCCGACCTTGAAGAAGCTGAAGCATTTCTCGGGGTTGGCGCCAGCTTGGATATGATTCTGCGTAACACGCAGTCCACATAGAAAGCTTGATAGCATGCCACCCCGTTTCCCTGAACCATAGTAGCCACCAATAATGACACAGTCGAGGGACTCGCCAAACTCGGACATGTATTCAGGTTTGACCTTGAGCCAGTCATCATTTCGACTGTTGAGCCGGTACATAGATCGCGGGTTCTTCAAAACAAGGCCCTCAGAAGCATTAGCGACAACCTCACGGAGAAGAGGCTCTATTGCGTCGGCACGCGTTGCCTTTTCGTAACTGTGAATTTCAAGTCGGCGATGGACAGGCTTGATAGCCTTTTCCAAAGCTCGGTGTCGATCCCGCAGGGTATATTGTGTTAGAGGTTTGTTGTTCAGGTAAAGGATATCAAAGACGCGGAACAATGGCCGGTGGCCAGCTGAGTCTGTATCAGACTTATTCTTCTGTTCCGAAAGCGCAGCTGTTTTGAGGGTGCCAAAAGGCACTATCTTGTCGACGCCCATATCCCAGGTGATCATTTCGCCGTCTAGGATCAAGTTTTTCACTCCAGATGCAAATGCGTTTTTCAAATGTCGGGTTAGACTTGAGTTTTCGTCTTGAAGACCATCGCCGTAGAGGTAGGTGTAATCTTTGGCCTTCCGTGACCAAAAACAGAACCTTTTGCCGCCTGGGTGGCTCTTGTCTTGGACCATATGGACTTGCATACGCTCACCGTCCAACTTTTCCTCGATCCAGAATTCGGGGTCTTCCTCGGTTGGCCGCAGAAGAGCGATCATTTTGTCAAATGATGAAGGCATCTGAAATTGTGCGAGCTGTGGCTGGAAACATTGCATCAAGGCAACACCAGTTTCCTCCTGCTCAAGGCGGGTTTTTGGGTCATGCAGCTCCCAGCAAACACGTCTTAGACTTGAGGACACACTAAATAAAGCATCTCCGTCTGGATGCCACAAGTCAAGGAAAGTCTTCTCCGTGGCCCCGACTTTCATCTGCTTGAGGACGATCCGAATGAGCCACATGAGCTCTTCTGAATTCATGCGATTGTAGAAAGTCTCAAAGACTCGCAGATTCTCTGCCTCTCCTGTTGAAGCAGCGAGTTTGTCAAGCTGCTGATTGACTTCTGCAATGGTCATATTCCCAACATCGGTGCGCATCGGCCGCTTCGAGATGACTTCAAAACATCGTCCTGCGAAGTCACCCGCCAGGCGCGACGCAGTTGTCTGACCTGGTAGCTTCCAATGCAACAGGTTGTAGCCATCTTCGGAATTTTTGTCGATTTTCATAAGCTTGACGAGTAACTTTCCAATTGTGTTTTCTTTGAGCCCATAAACTCCACGGTCACGGTCTTTGTCTGGCAGGATCAGGCGCAAGGCGGGATAGAAATCAGGGCCAACTTCTTTGCGCCATCGAGTGATGAAGCGCTCAATGATGTGCCGACGCTGCTCATGAGGAGAAAGCTTATTCACACCACGGAAGCCCTTTCTAGGGCCTGCACCAGTGGCATTCTGCTTCTTGTTCTCATTGAGGGGGTTGAAGACTTCTCGAAACAGTTCCGAGAAGATGAGCGTCTTTGAGTGATTCTTTGGCCGATTCGGAAACCTTGCGCAAGGTCAGTATGAGGATAGAATTCTTGAAGGATTATGAATTGCTCACTTTTCCTCGATCTCTTCGCGGGTCATGCCCACGATGCCATATTGGATCTCGTCTTCATGCTGTGCCTCATCAGTATGCGACATGATGTTTTGTTTACTCTAGGTAGCTGTAAGTTGGGGCGGTTGCAAGGTAGCGATGCATGGAGAAGGCAGTCTCGAAACTGCGACGATGATTATGCAGAAGAAGTGTGCAATAAATCATCCAAATGGGATGCGTTATGTTT